GGCTCAGGAGTTGAGCACTCTTGGATTCAATCCCTGGTACCAAAGTAAATAAATAAGTAAATAATAAAGGAAGAGAAAGGGAAATGATGACCCAAAGAACTATGACTATGCTAACAAAAGCAATTTTAAAACATCTCTATTGCTCTACTCATGGTTTTCATATATGTGAATGCAAATACATCATGCTTGGTAATACATTTAATTCCCTTATTTTCTCTCCCATGCACGTGCCACCTAACTGCTTCTGAACCTCTCTGGAAATTACCCCCCAAAGTCCTGCAACCCACACCACTTCTGTCTGAAGTATCATACCCCCACTCCCTATTCTCCATCACAAAGCCCAGAGAATCTATGTGGCAAAGGGTGGCCCTCCCTTGGAAGAAGAGAGGTTGACAGGGGCCAAGCCATTGCTCTCTGTTGTGGCCTGGGTGGGAGCTACAAGTTGGGGCAGGGGGCAGGGAGTGGCACTGTACAGCACTCCAAGCCTTCATCCTATGTCATAGGCATCAGAAGCATCTCGAGGGACATGCAGGAAGGTCAAAATATTAACAGCAGTTATTTCTGGAGGTTGGATTAGAGTGGATTTTAATTTTCTTCATTTTGCTTATCTATGTTTTCTAATTTTTTTTTCATATACAGACATTCCCTTGATTAATTTTTAAAATTTTTTATTGAAGCATATCTTGATTAATTTATAAACGAGCTTTAAAAAATAATCCCTTGGCACTTTTCAAGAACATGAGGTTGGAGAAGCAAGTATGGTACCTTCCAAGGTAAAGAGATTTAAAAATGTATTCTCTCTCCCATGTATGGCCCCAGACATTGCACCCAAGCCAACCATCAGCCAACATTGGGGGGTTTTGCTCTTGTCTCCCCAAGAAAAAGGCATATTCAGAAATGTGCAAGTGGGAAAAAAGGGCTCAGAACAAGTTATGTCTATAGGCATGGTTTTCCTTATCTGAAAATGGGCTCATCGCTGTACGACCCCGAGTGAGGGGACACCCATGGAAACCCCTCCCCCACCCACATGTGGGCTGGCACATCAAAGGTCCTCAAATAGATGTGAGCACCTGCTACATGAATTCCTTTCACTGTACAGCCAATGACTGGCTTTAGCTCTGGCCGGGCCCTCGACATCAGGTCTATAAGTACAATAATTAACAACACACTGGCCCAACCATAAAGGAGCCCCCAGTCTATGCAAAGAGGCAAATAACAACAATTACAGGCATCATTTAATAAATGCTATGTGCCAGATCTGAATCTGTATTTGGCACATAGCATTTATTCATATTTACATATTCATGATTTTCATCCTTACAGTCATCTCTGAGGTAGACTATCTCAATAATTATTATCTTCTATCCCCCTGGTCACAGAAGTCTGTCTGTCCTTCATCCAGAGCCCACAATGTGGTACAGTAATGGATCTGCTTTGATTTGTACAGTGGGTAAGAGCTTGGGTGCTAGAATCAAACTTTTTGCTGGCTCTGTCAACAAGGGGCAACATATTTGATCTTTCAATGCCTCAGTTTCCTCATCTGAAAGGTCGGAATGATCGTGCTTTTTAATATTACCTCATAGGTTATTATAAGGATGGAAAGAACCAAACTCTTAGAATAGCATCTAGTTATATAAGCTATTAAGAAAGGTCAACTGGTATTATTATTGTTGTATTTATCTCCTCCTTTAGGGAGCTCCCTGAGAGCTGTTTACTATCCCAACTCAGGACTTAACATAGAGCTGAAACCACCACTTGTCTATTAAGTAAAAGAGAAAACATATACCCCTCGTGTGTTGCAGGCAGGGAGGGTGAAGGGGGTTTCCCTTCACAAGTAGACATCAGGTTTTTTTTTTTTTTTTTTTTTAAGAATGTCAATTGGAGTAGTGTAGCACCTTCCAGAGCAGACAGAGTCCACAAGGTGGCAAATATCAGATCATAGTTCAGCCTTCCCATGACACAGATGAGGAGTCTGAGGCTTAGGTGTGTTCAGGAAGTTGCTTAGGATCATGCAGCTCATTAGCATTCAAGAAATGTGCTAGAGAAGGTGAACTTTCTATCTTAACCTCAAACTCAAGCCCTGGGAAATTGGACAGAATTTTTAATTTCAGGTCAAGTTCACAGCTTTGTTGAATGCCAAGTTCTTCCTGCTAGGCTCCCAAGAAACTGGTGCATGGGCTCAGGGAGTATCTAGTTTGGCACAAGACAGATATTAAATGAATCTAAGTGTGATGAGAGGAAGCCAGGGTATAGTGAGAGCTAGTCTTGTTTCCGTCTGTAGATATTGAGAGGCTGAAATATCAACTGAGAACTGAAGGAGAATAGGAGTTCTTTAGAATGTGGCTTGAGAAAACCAAATGAGATCATACTTGGGTTGTGACTCTGGACCTTCCAGTTAACGCCCCCATCTGAATGCAGAATGAAAACCCTGTGGGGAGAAGAGAGGTTAATTTCTGTGGAGTGGGGTGGATGGCAGTGGAAACCCGGAGAATAGTCTCCCCAGGGGCCTCTTCCCACCCACCTTACTCATATAACCCCACCCTCTCTTCAGGCTCTGAAATTCAGTTCAGAATATTCTGTGCATTATGAAGAAACTTTCTTTAGAAGTTACAGAATTCTTTATCCTAGAAGGTACCACCAGGCAAAAAAAGGTGGGAATGATCATGCTTGTTAATATTATCTCATAGGTTATTATAAGGATGGAAAGAATCAAACTCTTAGAATAGTGTCTAGTTATATGAGCTATTAAGAAAGGCCAACTGATATTATTATTGTATCTATCTCCTCCTTTAAGGAGGAGATAAAGGTTTGCTGGACTTCAGAGACCACACTTCTCAGACAGCGATCACAAGCCTTTCCCTGCAGATCCCCTAACAGCAGAAGTAACAGCAGAAGAGCCCAATGTGTCCCCTAGCCCATGGCCTGGGGACATGCACCCATCGTGACATGTTTTTGAATTCTTGTTATTACAAGGGTAATTTTATATTTGACTCCCTAATCCAATATAAAAGCAGTACTTTAGATTTCTTACAGTAGATGTTTGTTAATAAATCTAGAAAGTTGATAGAGAACCTTACTTGATCTTGAGCTATAGCCAAGTCCTAACTCTGGGTGATAAGATTACAGGAAACGTCGAATTTCTTTTATGTGTTTTCTGTATCTTCCCTAATGAGCATGTATTAATTGAATACTACACTTTTAAAAATGAAATATTTCACAGTTTGACCTTAATGTGTAATATTTAAGGGCGGAAGAATAGTAATGATTTTCCTAATGGCATTTTCTTGATGTGCTCATTTTATACATCCAATTCTTTTACACATAGTAATTACAAAAGAATATCTGCATTTGAATGAGTAAAAGTAATAATGATGATGATAATGACAGTGACTACCATTATTCTGTCTTTACCCTGTGCTACTGTTATAAATCTTTACATGCACATCTATTTTATCTTTATAAAACCCTTAGAGGCAGTATTATCCTCATTTTATCAAATAAACTGAAACACCAGGATGGGATGTGGCTCTGTGGTAGTGCTTTTTTTTTGGGGGGGGGGGGGGGGGGGGGGTCCCAGGGATTGAACTCAGGGGCACTCAACCCCTGAGCCACATCCCCAGTCCTATTTTTTTGTATTTTATTTAGAGACAGGTCTCACTGAGACCCTACTTAGGGTCATGCAGCTCATTAGCATTCAAGAAATGTGTTAGAGAAGGTGAACTTTCTATCTTAACCTCAAACTCAAGCCCTGGGAAATTGGACAGAATTTTTAATTTCAGGTCAAGTTTAGCACCTCACTTTTTGCTGAGGCTGGCTTTGAACTAGTGATCCTCTTGTTTCAGCCTCCTGAGCCGCTGGATTACAGGTGCGCGCCACCACGTCCAGTTGTGGTAGTTCATTTGTCTGGCATGTGTGAGGCCCTGGGTTCAATCCTCTGTACTAAAAAAAAAAAAAAAAAAAAAAGACAAAAACAAAGCTGAAACACCACAAACCTAAAGCAACTTTCCTGGCTGGATCATTTTTAATGCCCAGTCTTCTAGCTTCTCAGTGCTCCTCGTAGATCTGACTTCTGCTATGGCGTGCACTGCAAAGCAGAGGATGGTGTTGCCTGACCACGCCCTTCTCTCTGGCTTTTTGCATTCTTGCATTCTGAGGTTTGTGCAGGGTCACTCTGGTGGAATGGACGCCCACAGGCATCCCAGCTAACAGAGGCAGGGAAATCACAGAACAAAGAGCAGACACTTACTAGACCAGCATCCATCAGTAGGCCAGCAGAAGTTGCCAGTCCAAGGAGCATGCTCTGGGAACAGATGAAGTCCCAGCTCTCTGCCCACCTAGGCTCTGCAGCTGTTCCCTGAATGAAAGGACCCATGGGGAAAGGCAGGAGAACGTTCTAGATCACTGGATCTCAAACTTGAGCAGACATCAGAATCCCCTGGAGTGCTTATTAAAACCCAGATTGCGGAGCCCCACCTCAAGAGTTTAATTTATCACACACCCCACCTTGAGACCAGCAATCTCAAAGTAGCTTTTTGTTATTCTCCTATAACTAGCATCGGGCATCCAGAAATTCCCTAACCAATTGGCTAGACGCAGGACCATTTAAAGAGTTTGTCTAAAGTGCCATCCCTTGGGGTGCAGATGACAGGATGCTCCAGATTCTTATACCCAAAGGTATAAAAGACTTTAGACAATATGACTAATTTCATCAATGAAAGCCATTTCTAATGGTTATGCTAATTAGCCAAGTCTGCGGCACTTGGGTCTCTGGTTGGAAGGCCCCCATGCACCTTGACAGCTGGAGGGTGGCCCTTCTCACATAATGCGTGCTGACAGCCCCTCTCATGTGAATTCCTGGGTAAGGCACCTAGGATATGAATTAAATTAGCTCTGATTCTAATATTGCCAATCCGAGTGAATATTTTAGAATAAATCTTAAAGGCCACCTTCATGGGAGAGAGCTTCACCGAGGAATTAATGAGCTTTGTTTGGTCCCACAGACTGAACCTGAAATCATAGAGGAAACCAACGTTGACAGAGTTCACGAGCCGCGGGGCTACGCCAGGTCGAGGCAGGTGAAAGGCCACTCGGAGACCTCCACGCTGAGCTCCCAGCCCTCCATCGACGAGGTCAGGCAACAGATGCACATGCTCCTGGAGGAGGCCTTCAGCCTGGCGTCCGCGGGCCACGCAGGCCAGAGCCGACACCAGGAGGCCTATGGCTCTGCCCAGCACCTGCCCTACTCGGAGGTGGTGACCAGTGCACCAGGGACCATGACGCGGCCCAGGGCCGGGGTGCAGTGGGTGCCCACCTACCGCCCAGAAATGTACCAGTACAGTCTGCCCCGGCCGGTAAGTCAGACGTCCCCCTGCCTGCCATCATCTGTGGGTTCCAAGGACTTCTAGTGATAAGCCACCTTGGGATTTAGAAACAAAGATTTTCCTCCATCCCCATCGTATTCTTCACCCATGGTCCAAAGCCAAGCCTTTTATTCCTGTTGAGAATCCCTTATGTCCAACGATAACACATTTAAGAGTGGATCTTCTTTTCTACTGTCCCTCCTGGGAAGGCCAGGAGGGACAGTATGAGTGAAGACCTCATTCTTCACTCGCTGGTGTCTTCCTACACTTTCAACTGTGAAACCCAATTTAAATGTCAAAAGGCATCACAGAGCCGCATGTGAAGGGGTTGTGCAGGCTGGTGGCCCAGAGTCTGGGCTTCAGCCAGGTGGCTTGACTTTGAATCCCAGCTTTACCACCTGCTGGCCTCCGGACTTGGGCAAGTTACTTACCTTCTCTAGCAGTGGGAAAAAAACGAATATGAAACTTAACCTACTTCCTAGAGTTCTCATGAAAGTTAAATGAGTTGATATTTGTGAGGTACCAGAAGAACGCCCACTTCACAGTAACCCTGCAGAAGTATTATTCATAATTATTTCATTTAGTAGTAATTGCTCCCATGATTTAGCATAACGATCTGAATCAGTTTGAATTTCATTTATCACCATACTATCTACCTGTATCTTTATAAGGACCTGTAGTTGGATAAACCATAGATCATGCTAAGACAATGCTTTGTGCATATATAGATTCCATGCCCCATCCTGGGAGTTGCTCCTAAATAGAGCTTGGTAAATTGTTATTGTGACGTGTGTGTGTGCCATTGCTTTACTGATATTGGGTACCGACCTCAGTGTTCCTTGGGTGTTAGTTACTCATTGTGTCCTAACAACAAGCCTCTGAGGCAGACACTAGTTTTATGCCTGTTTTACAGGCGAGGAATCTAAGGATACACAGTTTGTTCAAGGCACAGAGCCAGGAATGGGTGGAGCTGGGACCCAGGGCCCAGCAGTGTGGCACCAGAACTCATCTTCTTAACCGGCATGTTACATCACCTCTCCATCCACATTATTTATTCCATTTGTAGTAGTCTACTTAGGGCACCTGTGGGTTTGTGCCGACCTCAACGTCTGCACTACTCTGGCACTTAATAAATTGCTGTCCTCATAAGCCTGCACCCTAGGGTGAGTTTCCTTATTGCTCTCCTTTGCTCCATGTTCCCCCTTTAAGGCCACTGAGATGTCTCCCCTGGATGTGCTGCTTTTTGTCCCTCGGTCTCTCTTTGCTGGCATTTTGAGTCCTGTCTCCTACTTGGCACCCTTCTCTGTCACCTGACTATCTTCCCCCACCCCATCCCCAGTGTGTTAACAGGAGAGCCTAAAGTTTGTTTCAAATTGGACCCCCTGGGGAGAGGTGGCAGTGCTTGGAGTCAAGATCAACACAAGGCTTTGTCCTTAGGTTGGCAGGTTGAGCATTTCTGTCTTGTCCCTTCAATCCAGGGGGATCACATCCCAGGAGTTTGATCTGTGCTGATTAAGTTCTCAGCTGCTTCATTCTTAAGAATGTTAACTTACCAACCTGCAGCGAGTGGCAGGAAATGGGGTGGCCCAGGCCACTCAGGCTTGCTGGTCTACATGTTCCTTCCTGAGGTGAACACCAGCTTGGGGAAAACAAGACATGATCAGAAGGAGAACTCGTTTTCCTTATAGTCATCTTCCTAGTTCATGATATGCAAATCCAGAGTATAAATAATAAAGGAAATAAGGTAAACACAGGCTTCTTTTTTACATTCATTCTCTGAGATATGGGTAGAATATAGAGAAATTTTCTTAATATAATTAATATATATAATTGTATATAAATATGATTATAATATAATATACAAACATGATTTTTATTTCGATTGTGGTAAAGTATATGTAACATAACATTATTTTAACAACTTTTAGTACAGTCAGTAATGCTAAGAACATTCACATTGTTGGGCCACCAATCTCCAGAACTCAATTCATCTTGTAAAACGGATACTCTGTATTCATTAAAAAAATAACTCCCCTAACCTCCTTTCCACAGCTCTGGCAACCACCATTCTACTTGTTACTATGAATGCAACTACTCTAAATATTTCCTATAAATAGAATCATTTAGTATCTGTCATTTTATGACTGGTATGATTCACTTAGCATAATGTCCTAAGGTGTGGTCCTTATAGCATACACCAGAATTTCCTCCTTTTCAAGCCTTAATAATGTTCTACTGTATGTATACACTACATTTTGTTTATCCATTCGTCTGCCAATGAGCACTTGGGTTGCTTTTGCTTCTACCTTTTGGCCATTGTGACTAGTGCTGCTATGAACCTAGTGCAGGTATCTTGTGTCCTTGCTTCATGTTCTTTTGGGTACATACTCAGGAGTCGAATTTCTGGGTCATATGGAAACTGTTCTCAATTTTTTGAAGGACTGCCACATTGTTTTCCACGGTGGTTATACCATTTTACATTTCTACTAACAGTGCACAAGAATTCCAATTTCTGTACATCCTCACCAACAGTTGTTATTTGCTGGTCTTTTTAGAGTTGCCCTTCTAATGAGCTTGAGGTGGTGTCTCGCTATAGTTTTGATTTGCATTTCCCTAATGGCTAATGATGTTGAGCATCTCTGTTGGCCATTTGTGCCTCTTCTTTATGTAATTTTTAGGATAAAATAGACCTTGGAGCAATGCCCAGATCTCAGGAACACAAGTTTAAGTCTGCCATCAGGGAACTTTGGTGGGTACATTCAAGAAGCACTGCATTCCAGCAACTCCGAGGCCACCACTGGCCACATTCCCATCGTTCTGAATCTATGCATCCTTTTTTTCTCAGAAAGACTTAGAAAAATTCTCACTAGGCTTTACAAATCTGTCATCTCAAAATACTTTTCATGACAGTCATATTCAGTTTCCAAGATTATGGTGTTCTACTAATTGCACATTAAATTGGTACCTGCCTTTTTTCAGGGAGAGGGAATTTCCTCAGTGAGGTTTAGAAAACACTCTGATTTTTTTTATACCATGTTTATATGTACCTCTTAGGTGGCTGTCCTCTGAAAAAGCTTACCTATATCCATTCTGTGTTGATTATCACCAACTTCAATCTCATTGATTCATCCTTCCTGGTCTCCTCAGCTCAAAGTAGGATGATGCTTACCAACTGACTGATCTTAGTGACTGCAGCTCAAAGCCTCAGACTCTTCTGAAGATGAAATGCTAATTCCTGTAAAATGCTTAGCATGGTTTTCTTGCCTCATGAGCACTCAATATTTTTCTTAGGTGCTACTATTCAGAGTGCCTGGTATTGTGACCAGCACATCAAATTTTTCAACAAATGCTAGCCTTATTATCGAATTATTCCTTCCCTTTCCTTGGGCCCACTATGTATATATGTTTCCCACATTTCCGAGAACACAGCTCCTCCTCTTACTCTGTTCAATTCTTTCATGCCCTTGGTGCCCCAACTCAGAGTCCCAGAGAAACTTTGCTTCTATATGAAGATACTTCTCAAGAATAACTGGGCTCCTCTGGATGGATGCCAAATTCTGGGAATCCAGAATGAGATCTGGGTGTCAGAGAGAAAAGCTTGGACAAGCAGGACAAGTCTTCCAACCAGTGACAAGTGAGAAAACCCCATACCCCATCACCATTACACCTCGACTTAATAAAACCATCCCAAAAATGTATAGAGGGACATATGAAAAATCAGATGCTTCTGCTTGCTATAATTGGGGATTAAAATTTGTGCCACGAAGGGCAAAAACATTAGCATTATATATTTTCAAAATTAAGCTACCTCAAATGGAAAAGGGCTGAGACATAACCCCGCAGAGAGATGAACCGTTAAACGCAAACAACATTGAAGGTCGTTAAGATTTCCTTCTTTGCCAACAACCCATGAAGACTCTGTGTCCATGAAAGGAGAAAATGCCTAACAATACACAATAAAAGTGATTCTCGATCCAAGTTCTCAAGGAGCCTCCTTGTGCTATGATAATGTGGAAATCAATAGAAAAGGTAGCAATTTAGAATGACAACTATGATTACTTTTCAGCTTCCAAAAAGGAAGCGCTTTGAGCTCTGCCAGGGGATAATTGGAAGCTGGTGGTTTCGATGCACTGGGGCAGCCGGATGGCGTTTATATGATGGAAAGAGTTGCTGCTGGCAGCTTAGGATGTCTGTAATGCAGTTCAGGAGACTTTGATCATCTTTTACCCCTTAGTATCGGTAAAGAAATTGGACTCAATGACCAATCCAATCCTGCTAACAGCCAGGATGGCTCTGTGCGAAGTGGAATGAGAACATCCCACCATAACCTTCCTGGGATTAAAAAAAAAGGCATCAGAGGAAAACATCCTCCCAACTAGACTCTTTACAGGTGGAATTAACAGTAAAAATAACAACAACAACAACCACAGCAACAGTTGCCATCTGCTGAGCTCCCATTGTTTAGTGTGAAGTGCTGGATGGACGTTATCTCTTCTAATCTAACAACCATCCTTTGAGGTCAATGTTATTATCCCCAAGTACCCAGTGAGGAAATTGAGGCTTAGAGAAGTCAAGAAATGTGCCCAAGTTCACATAGCTATCCCTTAATACCCAGGGGCTTTATTTCAGGATCCTCCAAGAATACCAAAATAATTGGACACTCAAGTCCATACTATAAAATAACATAGTCTTTGCATGTCTAACCTACACACATTGTTGTATAAACTTGAAATCATCTGTAGATAACTTAGAGTACTTAATACTTAATGTAAACGCTAATGTAAATGCTCTGTAAATAGTTATTGTATTAGTTAGGAAATAATGACAAGGGGAAAAGTCCACATGTACTCAGTACCAATGCGATTTCCCCCCCCCCCCCCAATATCTTCCATCTGCAGCTGATTGACTTCTAAGACATGGAACCCTGGATACAGAGGGCCAACTGTAGAGCTGTAGATGGCAGAACTGGGGCAAGAAGCTAGAGCAGTCTA